TAAGTTCCCAAAGTTCAACTTGTTTAATGTTTACTTAATTTGTATGGGGGAGATGTGATGTACTTCTAAAACTGAACACCGCCCTCTGTTGGTTACATTAAAGTTGACCTTTCGGGGTTCACCAGCTTGTTCTGAAATGATCGTGTCTTGTGTGAAGTTACTCTAGTTAACTAGACATTTGTGGCTGCTCGTCAGCGAATAACTTTACAGACTGGTTCCCTGACCTTACAATTCCCCAATGTATGTCAACTGCTCTGTTTCTTCTTAAATGGAGTTACGGAACCAGACAACAAGAAAATGATTGTTTTTCTTGGTTTTTATAGCATTTTTGAACCCAAAACCTAAAAAAAGTCAGTGTAACCATATTTGCTATATATTTCCACCCCCCCCCCAATACCATCCATTTCTAAAAATTACAGCAAAAGCAAATGATGTATATTGTGGCGTCCGTGCCGGTCAGCCGCCAGAGGGCACCAGCGCGTTTCCACGGTGGAGCCGCGCAGTGGAGCCCCTGGTGGCCGGCCGGGGAGGCCTGTTCTTCCGGGCGGCGCATGCGCAGTAGTATTGTTGTTGCCTCGTTGCTGAAGAGGATAGTTGTGTTTTGCGGTGTACGTTTTTGTGAAATATACAGCCTAGAACCAGCAGAAACGAGTATACCTGTGTTGGAGTCCTTTTTGAGTGCTTATGAGGAACCCCAGAATTGTTCTACGCTACAATATTCAATTTAAATGGTGCATGGAAAGTTGGTATGACTTTTTACATGAATGAGTTCCTTCTCAGCAGAGTGAATGTTGAATGATTAAAGCAATACAATAGAGGAGTACCCAGTGGGCAAAATACGTTGAAATAACGTTGAAACAACGTCAGATTCCGACGTTGAACTAACGTTGAATAATGATTGAATTTGAAAGTTGATCTGACGTTGAAATGCTGACGTTAAACCAACGTGGAAAGCATAACGTTGAATCAACGTAGATATTTCAACGTTGATTTAATGTCGGACATTCTACGTTGATTCAACGTTGATTAATGATTGAATTTGCAAGTTGATCTGACGTTATTATGCTGACGATAAACCAACGTGAAAAGCACGACGTTGAATCAACGTAGATATGTCAACGTTGATTTAATGTCGGACATTCTACGTTGATTCAGCGTTGATTAATGATTGAATTTGCAAATTGAAGCGACGTGGAAATGCCGACATTGAAACAACGTTAAGATCACAACGTTGAGATAACGTAGACATTTCAACATTGATTTAACGTCGACATCTCTACATTGAAATAGCACTGACATGATGTTCAATCAACGTATAAATAATCAACATTAAATGACATCCTATTCTTAGAAACAACACAGTTAAATAAATGCAATTTTGGAATCAACATATTTTAAGGATTGTATTTAGATTTAAAGCCAGAATGTACTGATAGTGGTGGATGTTGGCATTTTCCCAATCGTTCCATGTTAAATAAATTTGCAAGCTGAGGAGTGTTGTTAAATCCATGTCGAAATTGAATAACTTTAAATTTAAATGAAATTCTTTATCAATCACTTTAATGTTTTCCATTAAAAAAAATGTATGTATTTATTAATTAACTTCCAACCTTATCAACTTATACAACACACTTTAGGTTAAAAAAGTAGCAATTATTCCACACATTGTAAAATTCATAATTGGATTGACTTGTTCCAACAGCATTATAGCCTACACGAGGGTACTAGTCTCTAAAAAGATACATGACGATGAAATTAATTTTTTTCCAAAGAAATGCAGCACTGCCTAGTGCATTTACATCGGAAATATAACAAGAGGTAACGAGCATATAGGTACAATTTTTAAACGTCGAAATTCACTTCTTTTTTTATTTGCATTAGTTTTATTAGATTTCAAAATTTACCTGCAGCACTATTCTGTCATATCTATATGACTTTTCTTGTGAAATATCGCAAGAGGTTATGCGGCAGACTTGGGCAAGAGCATTAGAAACTGTCAAATAGAAACTAATAAAATAAAAAACAACATTATTCATACAAAATTAATCTGAATGATTCAATTGAACATTCGAAGAGGTCAACCAAGAATCAACAGTAATAACTAAATAATCCACGATACATGTACTGTGTATTATTATAACAGTCCGCCCACTTTTCGAACGTGGAAGTTTCAAAATGAAAAGTACAAGATGCGGCAGAGGTTGAATTTCAATCACTTAAAAAAGCTTTACCTGTTGTACACTAACGGAAAGATACCAGTCACTCCAGAGCAACTTACTGTATTTGAACAATTACTGTCGATCAACTAACTGTTCCAATATTGAAACATTGAACATAGTCCAAATGTACGACTGAACGTGAAGGTGCATGGGCCCTCAGTGTGTCCTTCCATCACCTCTTCTTTCAGGCGCAAACTTGACAGGAGATGAACAACTCAATAAGCAGCAACATCCATCACCTTGCCATTACGAAGTTACTAGACCTCGCTAGAAAAGACAAATAAAAGATAAATTAAATTTTTTAGAATTGTTAGCTTCCTCCCCAACCATCTCTTTATTCATTGACACAACCAAATCAAAACGAAAATGTTACAAACACAAACAGAAACTAGAAATGTGTTTGTGGACAAACACTGAGCTGTTTCGATTTTATCAATGAACGCCGTAAAGGAGTTTCATCCAGGTCAAATGAACATGTACATGCGTATACAGAAAGTGTACATCCTATGTAAAAAAAAAACATCTTTCATGACGTCATGATGACGGCACACAATTTGTGAAATTGTCTATATCTATCTACGACCTACAGTAAACCTTTTGCAAAAAGAATTTTGAAGTAATCACGTTGCTTTTAGGAAAGCGTCAAGTGACATGTGATGACGTCATTCTCATCGGTTGTTATAACATGTTTAACATTGTTTTTAATATAGATGTCAAATTACAATGAAAAGTTTTTAAATAAAATAATGCACTTTCAAAAAGTAATACAAACTCAAAGGATGATGTCATCATGACGTCACCTCATATTTACCACTTAATAGACATATTATATCTACACACCAAGTTTCATGACTATCCGATGACCCCTTGTATGTGGTTAACAAAATCTGAATTTTGATGGCGTCATGATGACGTCACAAAAATTACCGCATTAGGTGGTGGTGATGAGAGTGACATAGCAAAGTTGAATCAAAAAGAATTTTGAAAATACTTTGTTTTGTTCAGTAGATATGGTGGACTGCTGTACCATTGAGGTTTCTGGCTAGAGTGGCAATGGAAATTTTCATGAGTATAATACAAAACAGGAACCGAAACAGAATAGGAACAATCAACCTGTGAACTGGGGATTATCTCAAAAGTATTTTTCCCGTGCCTCAGCTCTATTTACATCGTTTTCCTGGGCACGGCGACGAATTGGTATTTGTCACAGTACTATATGCAGGCCGGGAAAATCTCAAAGGTGTTGCACGATTACAAATATTATCAGTATGGATAAAAAGCTGTTCAAAACACTCAGAATTACAGGATAAGTACAGAAATATGAATATGCCGTCAGAAGGTTTGTTTTTATGAAATAACGTGTAGAACATTAAAGGGAGTGAAGTATTATAACAGTAATAGAGAGATATACCCGAGTAATTTTTTTTTAATTAGAAATTAATAACCTATTGAATTATCAATGGTGGTTATTTATTTTAGAAGCCACATGCCAACACTGCTATCATCCAAAAACAAACAATGAATCAAAAACAAAAAACGGAATTATTCATCCTAAACTATGCCCAGATCCTTTCCTTGTCCAAGCTCCAGTTGTAGGCCTGGAATGCAAACTTTCTTTTCAACAATCATCTTTTTTCTTGCATTTAGAAAGGATTTGTATTTTTTCGCGTTTTCATATTTATATTTTTCTTCATACCATTAATAGTAATCGGATAATTATTACAGAAGTTCTTACTCTTGATTGCAGTTTGGATCAATCCTTTAACGCTGAAAAAACGTTGACTTATTTCAAGGAAATCAACCCGTTTTCAAAGGATTTAATGAAGCTCATTGGCAAACTAACATTGGGACTGTCAAAATGTCTGCATATATTTAAAAACAAATAGTACCACTGTATCGACACAGAATGCGTTTAATTGGCTTTCTGTACGTAACATGTTTGAAAGTATTTGTTGTTTTTTATTTGACGTATCAAAAATCGTGGTTTCTCTTTAAATTTTTAAGGGGCCCACGGGGGGCACTTTCGCACAAGATTGTGGATCTTCTCGAGATGGATCATTACCCCTTTGAAACCACAAAATACCCGTCTTGCAAAAATCAAATTGTGCCCCTTTCGAGTTGGAAATGTGGGCATCCTAAACCTGTGCCCTGCTCGCATTTGTGCCTCTCACAAGAGACAGACATCTTGCTTAAAATATATTTTTCGTTGCGCGAAATAGAACTGGCCATCAAAAGCAAGGGTGGCCATCTCGCAATAAAAATATTGTCTCTCTACATAACTATAGACGAATTGAAGGGCGGGGGATAGAGGGTGTGCCGGGGGCCGAAGGTTCTCTCAAGTGAGAAAATTGCCTTTATTTTGAGAAAGATATACGGCCACTGCCATGCCAAGGGCGGATAGTGCGGTCTGCGGTCCATGCTCATCATGTACCTGGAGAACATTGCAAATATTCGTTTCAATTTAAAAATTTGCTTTTTGAGCACCATGACGTGGTGTCTTTGTGATTTAAAGCGAAATAGCTATATCTTCACTTTCATACCGAAAAGGTCACCTTTGTTGTTTTTTTTGAAAAAAAGTGCCCCCTTTTGGTGTCCCCCAAAGTGTGTGTAATTTGAAGCCCCACCCAGTGAAGTGGAGTTTTGTTTACGGGCAAGAGACGTCGTTGCTAAGTAATAGCCTATAAGTTGCAGAAAGGCAACCCGGAAGGTCTTAAGGTGGCGGGTTGCCTGAGGGCCTGACGCGGGTGTTGGTATACTGTTGTACGGGTTTGATTGATATTGTAGTTGGACTGGGAGCCAGTGATTTGTTGGAAGTTTCAGCCGAAGTTGGAGGAGTGGCCAATTGTGAATCACCGAATGGGGAATGACCAGTAATTTGTGTGTAAAGTACATGTTGGATATCAGGGCCGAGACGGGTGTTGATGAACGTGACGAAAGCTGGGTTAGGGCGGTCCATTTCAGAATTGAACAGACGAAAACGTGTTGAGGAGTGTTTAGTGCGCCTAGCAGATTATACAGGGTTTTGTCGTGAAAAAATTGCGAATTGAAAGGTGAGTTTGGAGTTAACAGTTTATCATTTAAGCTGCTGTGTCTGTAGGAAGAGAAAGTGAATGTGATTAGGTGCCAGGCCTTAGGTGGAGAGGAGCCGGAGACGAAATACTTGGAAAAGTATGATTGATACTTAGCTGGAGTTACCCAGCCCTCAGTTTTATCATTGGGTTGTCATCTAGCCTTGCTGGAGCTAGTTTTTCTCATAATCGATAGTATAGGCAAACAAATTTGGAAAATGTTCAATTTTGTCCCTGTTAGTTAGGCGGGCGGGCTAAATACCCCCTGTTCATTTACCGTGGGACGGTATTGTTATTGAGGAAGTGTGGGACCCTTCAAGCCAAAGCGGGAGACGGTCCACGCATGAACGCACACGGTACAGCCGTGCATGGTAACGGTTTGCAGTGGGGCTTGTATGTTTAGGGCAGACAAAAGATCAGAGGATTAGCAATGTACCAGGTCTTTGCGGTCGGTGAGTAGAAGCCGCCACTGATGGGTATGAAACCGCAGGATTCATTGTTACAAAAATGGTTATTTGTAGCGGGAGCCGGGAGTGCCAACCGTGGGACGGTTTGTAGAAACAGGTCACCCGCTTTCTTTTCAAGCGGGAGCCGATAAAAGAGGGGCTCCATTGAAAGCGGCTCCCGGTAAGTGAACAGGGGGTATTTAGCCTGTCCGCCTTACACAGGTCCTTGAAGTAAAAAACGATCCACCATTTGTCCATGATGAAGATTTAGACCGAGTAACTTGGACCCAACTTATCGCCTTTTTTAACATTTGGACATGGTCTGGCGATAGTAAGGTCCAAGCTAATACCGAGACCTAGACAACACAGTCCCAAAAACCAACATTTTCCAACAAAAAACATCAGATTTCACCTTCAAAACGGCCTCCAAATTACTAGATATGCCACCTGAGGTACAAGTAGACATCGATAATTACGATGGTTGTAACTACTGAAGTTTACTTACGATCCGGAAGAAAGTGAAATTTTCCGTTCAGTTCTGAAGACCCCCTCTGCCTAGGTTGTGATGCGAGTGGTAAACCTCATATTAGTGCATGAAACAGTCATTGGGTGTTACGCTTCTGCGTGACATCATGCGCCAACAGCCAGCGACAAAATCGCATCCCCTAACCAAATAAAGGCTCATAAGTCCGACGCCTCATAGGTCCGACGCCTCATAGGTCCGACGCCTCATAGGTCCGACGCCTCATAGATCCGACGCCTCATAGGTCCGACGCCTCGTAAGTCCGACAAATTAAACGCCTCGTTTTTCCGTTGTCGGACTTATGAGGCGTCGGACTTATGAGGCGTCGGACCTATGAGGCGGAATAAATAAATTGTATGCCTCATAAGTCCGACGCCTCATAAGTCCGAAATTTCGGACTTATGAGGCGTTGGACCTATGAGGCGTCGGACTTATGATACGGCCCATCGTTTTGTTAGTTCAAGGACCTGTGTAATGGTTATTCCAGGCAAGTTTAAGGTGAGTTGCAGTTGCAATTAGTGTGTAACGGGGACAAAATTGAACATTTTCCAAATTTTTTTGCCTATACTATCGATTATGAGAAAAACTAGCTCCAGCCCTAGATGACAACCCAATGATAAAACTCAGGGCTGGGTAATTCCAGCTAATTGATACTGTAGATTTTGCACACCACGCTGAAGCCTGAGGAAGGATGCAACATTCTTTCCCTGTTTTTGATTGCAAAATACATGAACATGTACTAGGTCATTGAGCTAGGTTAATGATCTTATTTCGGTAATCCTTACTTTTAGGACCCCGTTCCTATAAACATGTAGGAAGGGGACAGACTGGTAATCCTTACTTTTAGGACACCTCTATTTTTTACCAGTTCTGTTCAAAACTGACTTTTGCAGATGACTGTCCAGTACCAAAGTGACTTTTGCAGGCTAAAGCAGTCTTTTTTCTTCATATAAACTCATGTTAGTTGTAATTTTGGAAGCACTTTCCAAAAAATGTAACTTTCCTACCTTTTTGGCAGTCAGACGTCATGTTGTTGTTCTCACAACACAAGTGAAAGCCTTATATAATGAAAGCCCGATGCTGATTGGCTGCTAAAAAAAAAAATATGATGTTTATTTTTTATCAGCCAATCAGCATCGAGCTTTCATTGCATGGGGCTTTCACGTTTGCCATCTTGGTTTTTGAGTCTGTTTTCTGGTTGTCATCGTCGCCCTTTACCCTCGAATTAACCTCATAAATCAAAGCCCTGCCCTCTTTCCACAAAATTAAACCTGCTGATATTCAAGAAGGTGTCATTGCTAATTGTTCAGATGTGCCAAGAAATATCAGAATGTCAATTTTGAGTGTCACTTAGTCAACTGTTTTGGTGAGTCTTTCCCTTCCTATATAGGAACGGGGTCCTAAAAGTAAAAGTAAGGATTACCAAAAGACTCACCAATATAGTTGATTAAATGAGTAAATGACTCTCAAAATTGACATTCTGATACTTCTTGGCACATCTGAACAATTGTGATACTTCTTGGCACAGCTGAACAATTGGCAATGACACCTTCTTGAATATCAGCAGGTTTAATTTTGTGGAAAGAGGGCAGGGCTTTGATTTTTGAGGGAAATTCAGGGGTAAAAGACGACGATGACAACCAGAAAACAGACTCAAAAACCAAAATGGCAAACGTGACAGCTCGATGCAATGAAAGCTCGTTACTGATTGGCTGATAAAAAATAAACATCTTATTTTTTTTTTTTTAGCAGCCAATCAGCATCGGGCTTTCATTATGTAGGGCTTTCAGACTCAAAGATTTAACAATTTGCTGGTAATTAAAGTTTTTGAAATAATATTTTTGAAATTGTTTAAATGATCGTTAATGTCTGTGGCGGTTTTGTACAAAAAGACTTGTGAGGATGTTTTTTCTGGTTTTTGTTGGTAAACAATGTGTTGTGAAGAGGAATTTGTAATGATCATGTTTTAGCAAGATAGTTTAAAGTTATAGAGCCATACATATTCTGGAAAGAAGAAAAGGGAGAAGTTCATGACATCCGTGAAGTTTGTTGATTTTGCATTGTTTGCATACATGGTGGTAGGGTATTCGTATTTGTCCGAATGATTGTGTTTAATGTTTTTTTTAATTAAATATTATGAATATAGAGTTTTTGTTTGTTTTGTACATGTAGATGGCATCAGTGACAGTGAAAGTTTTGAATGAACCCAAGGCCAGGGGCAAAGCAGTGATGTGCTCAGTTATCACAAATGCGCACAGTTTTGGCGATATTGTTATGTTTGGAGCTGATGTGAGGGACCGGTTTGAAAGTCGTCTTATCAGAGGGAGGTTCTATCGACTCGTCAGTGTTACAACTGTGCCGAAAGATGGAGGGCGAGTTAGTATTAAGTTGTCTTCAAAGACCAGGGTAAGTAAAAGTACATATGTACCAAATGTATGTCCTTAAAGGGAATGTACAACATTTCCTTTTGCTGTAATTTTGAGAAATAAAATTTGGAGGATTAGTATGTTATAGAAAATATTGTTGTTTTGGGCTTGTAGACGCTGGAAAAACCAAGAAAACCTATCATGTTCTTGTAGTCTGGTTCCCTGACCCCACTTAAAATGAAACAGAGCAATTAATACATTTGGGGAATTGTAGGCTCAGAGAATCAGTCTAGCAGGCTTGTACCCCTTCACAGGTGTGTAATCAATTGCAAAGAAAAGTCAGAACAACTAAATATGAAAACCTAGGGACATTTTTGAAAAAAAAGCCAGTTTTCTCCAACGCTGGTCGGCCGACCAGCGTTGGAAAAATACAGTTTTTCTTGAAAATGTCAGCACACCAGGAGCCACGATTTTAAAGGATGATTTGGACTGTCAGTCCCTAACAATTCAGTAAGGTATTTCGTGATAATTTGATCATTTCGTTTTTCGATGTTTGCAAATGTTGTATCTTCCCTTTAAGAATTGGAAATCAATTGAAGTGAAAGTCTTTGATACGTTATATGGACAATGCTTTTTAGATTTTGCAGTTTTGACCCATGAGGCCTGAAGAGCAATGATTTTTTTTTGTTCGATATCTGGAGGCTGGCTGAGGAGTATTGTCATTGCCTATGGCGTCTGTCGGATCGTCTGGGCAGAGCGGTTTCCAAGTGATAACTTGAGTAAAAAATGTTGTTATGCCCCGCGGCGAAGCCGAAGGGGCATACTGTTTCCGCCTCGTCCTTCCGTGGGTGGGTGGGTGGGTGGGTGTGTGTGTGTGGATGGGTGGGTGGGTGGGTGGGTGTGTGTGTCCGGATAAATAGTGTCAGCGCGATAACTTGAGAAATACTTAACATATGAACTTCAAATTTGGTTTGTGGATTGTTCTTGGTAATCCTAAGAAGCCTTTTGCATTTGGGGCCAAAAGGCCAAAGGTCAAGTTCACAGTGGCTAAAACAATAGAAATCTTGTCAGCGCGATAACTTGAGTAATACTTAACATATGAACTTCAAATTTGGTTTGTGGATTGTTTTTGGCAATCCTAAGAAGCCTTTTACATTTGGGGCCAAAAGGCCAAAGGTCAAGTTCACAGTGGCTAAAACAATAGAAATCTTGTCAGCGCGATAACTTGAGAAATACTTTACAAATGAACTTTAAATTTGGTTTGTGTATTGTTTTTGGCAGTCCTAAGAAGCCTTTTGCATTTGGGGCCAAAAGACCAAAGGTCAAGTTCACAGTGGCTAAAACAATAGAAATCTTGTCAGCGCGATAACTTGAGTAATACTTAACATATGAACTTCAAATTTGGTTTGTGGATTGTTTTTGGCAATCCTAAGAAGCCTTTTACATTTGGGGCCAAAAGGCCAAAGGTCAAGTTCACAGTGGCTAAAACAATGGAAATCTTGTCAGCGCGATAACTTGAGAAATACTTTACATATGAACTTTAAATTTGGTTTGTGGATTGTTTTTGGCAATCCTAACAAGCCACTAGGGGGTTGCCCTCAAGAGCAGACAAATTGGGATTGGTTTGGGGGTCAAAATGTCAAAGGTCAAGGCTACAGTGGTGAGTAAAAGGATGTTATCTGGGCTCAAGTAGTGCAGAGTAATGAGTGTATAACCAAGACTTTTAGGTGGTTGTGTAACTCTATGTCTCTCAAGTGGAAAATCCAAAGACAAATTTGGAGAAGAAAACTGATTGAAAAATGAACTTTGGTGGATTGGAACACGGGATCTTTTCATTGATAGTCCAACTCACTAACTAGGGTATTGTGGCAGGTTGATGACAGCCATTCGATCACATGCCTTAATCTAGTAAGATGGCTAAATATTAAAGGGAAATAATATGATTTTGTTTTGGGGGTGTAATTTTACAAGATTGAGCAGTTGAGTTGGAGGTTGAATTTTGCCTTAGCTTTTAATTGTTTCCGTTGATCTGTTTGACATTTACAGTTCGCCGATGTGAGAAAAATTACGAAACTGACAGTGCGTTTTTAATGGTCAAACGGAAGATCGTGTACGAAATCCAACAACTGAATGATCATTTGCAGATAATATTTTCGAAATGATACAAAAATCCCATTTTCCTTAATATGAAACAATACGTGGCGAAATGATTCACTGGATAAATACGCGCTAGTCAAGTAAGGTGTTTCCACTAAGTTAAAAAGTATTTTGTTGTCATTTTTTACCAAGCATGTTACGTCCCTTTAACAATGCTGTTATGCCTCATTAATCTTTTGATGAATGAACATATTACTGCCTAGCTAATGAAAATATATTAATTGGCATGTGCTATAAGGTAAATGAGGTAAGGTAAATAAGGTCGAGGCCATAAGGTAAATGATTACCAGATAAAAACAAGGACTTTTGGATTTGTAACTTCAGTGGGGAAGTGGATAAGTTGGGATTGGTATGGGGGATAACAGATCTAATTGGTCAACAAAGTAACAATGGTGACTGAAATGTTAATGTTAGAAATGGGGTTTGGGTTTGTAACTTCAGTAGGAGGTTTTCCTTGAGAGTTGGCAATCTGGGATTTGGTTTGGGGGTCAGAAGTTAAATGTTAATGATTTATATAAGAACATCTTGCTGAGGATTTCAAGAGTACCTCTATATTACTTGAAAGGGCGTAATAAATGTGGCCATAAGTGGTGATGAGTGTAATGTCATAATCCAGGGGTTGACCATGGACGTGTGAATAAGGATCCGCGAAAATGTGTCTTCACTCTCGTGTTATTTGGACATATAGTTTGTCCAATGGGTGTGACATTGGTTTTGTTTGATAATTTTTAAATAATGTATCAGTATACAAATTAGCAGTCATCATGATAAATAACAATTCTGTTCATGAGGTGAACAATTTTTCTTGCATGGTTTAGGCTAATGGCAAGTTGTATTTTTCATAATGGCAGCAGTAATTTGCATATAAAGGGTGTGGGTGGCGGCTGTCAGAAATATGATTTGCAGGGTCAAGTGACAGGAAAATGTTCAAGATTTTGTGGACATGGTAGTTTGAGACTCTTTTCCAAACTGGGGTTTGACACCAGGACTGCATGTAGATGTACATGTGGGATTTTCTGGTGTAAAGATAATTTGACCGTTGTCTTGTGTGTTAGCAAAGATTGAAATGGAGTGTAGTTTTTTGCAATGTCTTTTAGATTAATCAAATAAAACAATTGCAATTGAATAATCAGTATTTTGATTGATCTAACCCTAACAGTCCTGAATCCTCCAATTTCAATATGATTGTGCACACCCCCTAGGGAGTTAGGGTCAGGTAACAGAAAAATACTTGCAGTCCTATACATGTATGTGTTCAACACTGTTGTTGAGGAGCTGGTCCAGAAAGAATTTGGTTTTTTTTCTTTTTTAAACGTGTTGACGTAAATATGGAGTATACTCTTTACTGTACATGTACATGTTTGTTATGGTTGAACATTTTTTTGATAATTAATTTTTTGTTTATCTTTACTATCTTAAAATGTAGGTGTTTGCCACAGTTCCATTTGATGTGCCAGGAGAGATGGAGGATATGTTCTATAATGCTCCAGAAATGGCAATCGGGGACGTTTTGGGCTGTAGTGAATCGAAACGAGTGACAATTGTTGGAAGGGTGAAAACTGTGAGTATAATGTATAGGACTGTGGTCTAGATCTGTGTATTTTGTGTTGTATTGCTTTTTGGGGGGGGGGGGGATGTGATTGGATTAGTGCTCTTTTATTGCACACAGTTATTGTTGCTGAGCCCTAGTTAGTTTAGCTTAAAATGTGTAGACAGTATTGGTACACATGAAGCAAAGAGGGCTGTAAGTATGGCTTAAATGTAAGTGTTGTTGGGAAAAGTAAGAAAATAATGGTATATTTTGTTCCGTTTTTCTTAATGTTACCAATGAGAACTTGTGAGCTCTCCAGACTGAAGCACTTAGGATGAAAATTGCAACAGGTCCATAACTTACCAAGCTTGGCTAAAATCGTTGAAAATATGAGGACATAATACTATTTTCCAGAAAATGACCACTGGTGACCATTAGATGACTTGTGTGCAGAGTGTAGTATCAACAATTACACAAAAAATGCAAGAGGTTCATATATAATGAAGTTGGCCAAGTAAAAAAAAAAATGGACGATAAAATGATATACAGACCGCTCACGTGTAATGTGCTTTGATGCAAATGTTATATGTGATATTATGTGTGTACAAAAATGTACATCTTGGGACTTTGATAAGGATGATGCAGCGCAAGCCACTTATGAAATGTTCTCCAGTGAGCACTATTATGTAGATGACCTTGGTGAAATTATCTGAGGGTCTGTCTGTGAATGCAATTGATTAAGTTTTGCTGTATTTACAAAATGTGTAGGTGAAAATTTTTGTAACTTTTAATGAAATGACGTCTATTGACCAATAGGTGGCCTTGGACCATCAGAAAAATACATGTGTAGACAATATGAACCCTGGGTCATATGACAGAGTTCATTGGGGATTGATAAAAATGTTTGGCAGTTATAATAAGTTAGGGCACGTGATGAGAAAAAGGGAAAAAAAGATATAGAATGATAGTATATCAAATTGTAGTATCTGATGTAGGAGGTGGGAGTTTAAAAAGCAGGATAACTTTAAGTCATACTATGTTTAAAGATGGGCTGTCTGTGCTTTTTGGGTGTGGCACGTGGAAAAGAGATTTTCAAAAGGAATTTTCTCGGATTGCATTTGTAATGAGCTTTCGAATGAGGTACCACTCAAGAAAAGTGGTGCAAGATAAGTTAATAATTAAGTTCACTTTGCGAACTGGGATGTGTTCCACCTCTGATTCAGATTAGAAGCAGGAAGGTGTGAGTGTGTACATGCACATTTGCGATTGTCTTTTATAAATAATAATGGCAGCCAATACATTGTGTATATACTGTATGTGTACGGTCTGCCATTAACAAAAGATAGAGACCAGTTGCTATGTGATTGCTGATGTGTGTGCATGATGGGATTGGACAAGTCGGAAAATGCTTGATGCGTAGTTAGCATACTAGCTGGCAGTTCACTAGATATGATTAGCAATACACAGATTTTGCTAAGACTTTTTGTTTCAAGTTGTTAGGCGCTTGAGTACAATTTTAAAGGGAAGTTTTTACTCCATAATAAAAAGAATATTTATTGCAGAGGAGATATTTGTTGAAAGTTTGTCCGAAAAAGAAAAGAATCTGCATTTTTGCAAAAGCATGGATAAAACAGCTTTAGAGAATTGCTTTCGGTGTAATTCTGTTTCTGAAATTGTTTTGTATTTATCTGTTTCTTTTTTTAGTGAAGGTTCATCAGTATGATGCTAATTTCTATAGAATTTCAGTCAGTCATTAATGGAAGTGCACATTGTGCTGTTTTTTTTTCAGGTGTCGCCAGTCAAGGAAGGAGGAAGTTGGACTAGAAAGGAGGTTTGTGTCGCTGATCTGTCAGGGCGGCAGGCTGTAACTGTGAACCTATGGGGAGAGCAGTCACAGTTGGCAGCAGATGTCAATGATGTTGTGAGAGTGACCAATTGCGAGGCTGTGGAATATCGAGACGCAGTGTCCCTAAATGGTACCCAGGAGACACACATTTTGGTAGGTGGTAATGCATTGTTTTAATGGCAATATAAAGGGATGAGGGATTAATTAAGTCAACAAAATAATTTGGCAGGGTGTTTAGTTCCAAGGGCAACGTAGAGTCCATGGTCTATATTTACATTTGCATAAAGGCATGCCTTACAATACTAACTTTTATACAGAAAAACTGAGGGATTCCAGATTTCAAAAGAGACTCGAAAACTCTTAAATGTTGAATTTAAAATTGACAAATCAGAAATCAGGGAATTCCTGATCCAAAAATTCCTGAACTCAAGAAATATCCTGACAAAAACACTGATATTAGGAAAAAAGATTGGCAAAAATGCTCAAATCATGAAAAATCCTGACAAATCTCAGTGCTATGAATGCAGTTAAAAGAAAGTTAGGATTTGTTTTGTTGGGGCTAAAATGGTTTAATAATTAGTGTCATTAATGTTGCGATTGTGTGCTAGGTGCTTGTATAGGAATTGGGATGAAGTTAATTATGGATATTACCAATTAGAAATTGCTCTTTTTGTTTGTGAAATAAAACATTGTGAGACAGAAGCACTGTAGCAGTGTGATTTTTTCCCACTGTTGTACGAAATGCACTTTCAAATCAGAGAATATGTTCAATAGAGGAAGTGATGAGGATGTACAGGGGGCAGGTACAATTTTGTGTGTGGGGATTATATGCAAAGGAGTGGAGAAGGGGTGGGTTGTTGGTAGTGCTCACATTAACAAATGTCCGTTGCTTGTAGAATTGCTCAAGAGTATAAGTGTTATTGTGTTTTGTGTATTGATTATAAAAGATTGAGGGAATTTCTAATGTAGGTTATTGTTTGGTGTTGTTCAGCCAGGTAACCCTGATGCTACTCAAGAGCGGATGACCTTCATTGGTGTAACAGTTGAGAAGTAAGTATTTAAAAGTATTGTCGATGGACAACACATATTGTTGCATGAAAATAAAGTGACGAATAGCAATGACTTGTACTTCAAAGTCAATTTAGCACAAGAAATATTTAGACATTTTCTTCGAAAACATTTGGAACTTTCAGAGGCGTGGCTTGTGGATATAGCGAAGTGTTGTCAATGTATGAGACTGTTGCTCACATTTAGTTCTGACAATTGATGCAGGCTTGATCCAGAGGTAGTACGATTTGGCACAAAGGATTGATTGGAATGTAGCATGCCAAAGTGGCATGGGCACACTAATGGGTTGTGGGGTAAGTGTTTGGAGCAGGGCTGTTAAGATTTTGGGTGCAATTTGTTTCTGTGTTTCTTCTCAAATCTGATCAAGCCCATTTCCAGTTCTTTGCTCTTGCTTTGTCCCGCTGCCGAGAAGCACTTGATCCCTCCCTCCCCCATGCCATCCATCGGCAAAGACCATGTATTTCTGAAGTTTGTAAGTAGTGTGCGTATAGTTGCTACTAGTACATGTATGCGCCCATCCCGTAATGTACATAATGAAGGAACGTACAGTACTGGTTTGCCTTGTTGTTTCGTCTTGTCCGTATGCCTTGTTTTTCTGCCTTGTTCTTAATTGTAATAATTGTTGTGGTTGTGTCTTCTTTTTGTTTTAGTAATGGACCTATTGAGCTTGTAAGGGATGATGACAGAGTATTTGAAGTAGGTGATGATGTTTTGCGTGATGTCTTTGACGGTGGTGTGACTGAAGTGGAGGAAAGACTGCCACTGCAATGCATCGTCAGATATCAGGATATGCCAGGCATGAGTGCGCAGATATATTGGCGATCATGGTTTAAGTAAGTGTGTTGGTTTCAGGTTACTTTTGAGTATTCTAGTGAAAGTTTGTGGTTTGATATTTTACAGTGCATTACTTATATTCCTCTGTTGGTAGAATTTTGTTAAATGATAATGGATTTTTTTCTCTTTTGTGGTCTTAAACTATTTCTCCTATGGTTTGACTTGTCTCGTTAACCGGATGAATATAGTGAGAAATAGGGCGAACTGTGCCAATATGTATATTATACAGGGTGTGCAAAAAGATACTGTAAAAATTACCATCAGGCGCAGTTTATATTACTTAGTTTGTGGGTTTTCCTTTTGCGGGACACTGTACATTAAATGGTGTTCATAATGTGCATAGATTATGGCTATGTCTTTGTAGAGTGCCCTCTACTGCAAGGTGGTGATCACGTACAGTTCGGTGTCGTCCATCCTACTGTGTTCCTGATAGCTGTGTCTGCACTCTTGGATACCCTCTCTGCCATGTTGCCCAAAAAAGTGACCCTGTGATGTTGATGCATGTTTTGTTTTTGTTTTTTTAATCAGGGTTGATGTGTTTGCACTTATGATGGAGAAGAAGGTGGACGAAGATGTGTTCTGGCTGTCATTTGGATCATCTGTGGTGAAGTTAACATACAGATGTGCGTTGTCGATGTTGAGATTTGTTGTTAAAGATGTTCATTGTTATTCCATTCCAGTTCAAAAAGTTATAAGAAAAGTATTGAGAGTTGGTTTTTGGTTGTTTATTTAGTTGTATTTTAGTTCAAGGAAAGATGTAGAAAAAAATCGCATCGTGAAACAAAATTGAATGGTATCGTATGTCATATTCAAAGAATATGCTTTTCTATAAGTAAAGTGAGTGTTAATAATGTATTTGAGATATCATTTGTTATCATTAATAGTTGAAATGAAGGTTTTTGTGAATTCTGTCCAGTTTAATTGGTCGATCATAGTTGATAAATCTTAGAAAGCTAAGACATGGGTGTAATAAAGACCACACAGTCTATTTCTCTAAATGTTTGATAATTCGGTTACAGGTATTTTTTATCTGTATTGGTATCCAGTATTGAAAGCCATAAACAGTTTGGGGACCGAAAATGGATTAACATGGACATCCTTTACAGGGTAATCCTTACTTTTAGGACCCCGTTCCTATATAGGAAGGGAAAGACTCACCAAAACAGTTGACTAAATGACACTCAAAATTGACATTCTGATACTGCTTGGCACATCTGAACAATTGGCAATGACACCTTCTTGACTTCTAAAGACTGCTTTAGCCTGCAAAAGTAACTTTGGTACTGGACAGACATTCTACAAAAGTCAGTTTTGAACAGAACTCGTAAAAAGTAGAGGCGTCCTAAAAGTAAGGATTACCCTTTACAGTGGGATGGAATTTTGTTCAACTTATGAAGCATGAAGGAAAGGCAATTAGATTAATTTTCGTACAATATTGAGAGTACATGTAGTAAAAATATCTCGGGCAATGGACTGAGACCTGCGGATGGGGGAAAAGCGTGCTAGGCCCTCCTCGCTAATGAAAGGCGATGTGCTGTTTGACGAAAGCATCTTAGAAAGGTGCAAAAGTGTGTCGGTGCTAAGAAAGGCCATAGAAACATTGGGGGAAAAAACACATTTTGTGCCCTGGCTTGAGAATTTAGTTGCGGGTCTGTTATTGTGGGAGCAGATGCATTTCCTTTTAGGTGGACGGGTAGTCATGAGGGATGCCATTAGTTTATTTCTTTCTCTACTGCCAAAAGTTATTGTAAGTTAATCAGAAGGATGAGAACTTCATACTTTGTATTCAGACGATTTGTATCACTGAGAACTAAAAATTTATGATGTAATACATGTATTACTACAATCAGTCCGTCTTTATGCGCATGGGTCCTCAAGCGGCGCTCCAGGCGGGCCATCGTCGCTACGTACGTTATGTCGGTCGCTATGCAGCAGTTGGTTGTGGACGTTTTGTTTGTGGTTCGCGTTTGTTTCAGCCGCTCATTTAGTCTGCGCGCATGTGCATGAAATACTGATAATCGGCAAACATTGCTTCCAGTCTCGGTTTGACCCACTGAAGTATCGGTCAACATCACGTTCGAAGTACTTTGATAAATTGTTCTTTCCACATGGACAGGAATATAAGGCAATTAAAGTCACTTTTGCAAACCTAAGCGTAAAAAACAGTATTTGATGATTTTTTTTGTTTTTCCGTGTCGTGTAGTACGAAAGTATTGGGTCACAAATTCAAAACATGCGACAGTTTAGGGGATATATTTCCAGTTTTGCCGAGTTACTGTAAACTTGTCTTCACTGAAAAATGGTAAACGATGCCACAGAAAGTGCGATGTATAAATATCATTTAAGTCGGAAACCGTTTCAATGAGAAAAGTAAGGTCTCACATACGTTTTTTCGTTGAATGTATTGTTATTGTGCACCTACGTACACTTTACACCGACCCGCCCTGGATCTGGCCCGTCTAGCCACGCACCACGCGCCGCGCTCCTTTTGTAATCTTTCGACCGTTCGAAATGTATACATTTAACTGAAACGATTTACAACTGACTGGTTCCCGCCCCTGAAATGCAGTTAAGTACGATCATAGAGAGCACTGGGACCAGTTTATTTGTGCACGAAGCTTTCAAAATAGGTTTACTCAAAAAATGACGATTTTTATAAGCTACCAAGGGCGGATCCAAGGGGGGGGGGCAAAAGAGGGCATGGCCCCCCCCCCCAAAAAAAACGAAACCAATTTTTTTGTTTTGTTTACGTGACATCGCAATAAAGGCAGGCAATGAGTACACCACCATCTTTTCCTCAAAAAAACATTGGTTAAAGTGGTCAGAAATTGCCTCAGATTGCACCACAGAGCATCTACAATCCAAAAATTTTTCGGGGCCCTTAAGCGGGCCCCGATCCCCACGCCGTAATTTTTTTGGACCCACTTTTTGGGGGACCAATTTTTTTTTTGGCCCCCCCCAAAAAAATTGTGTTCTGGATCGGGCCTTGTAAGCTACAAATTTACTTTTAAGTTACATCAAATCACCTGTAAAATGAAAATAATCTAGCATCCTTTTCGATGGTACTATTGCTGATCTAATGTATTACTCGGCAAATTTTCCAAATGTGTAAACCAAACTCAAAAGCGAACGATGTTTTTCCTTTAATTTCATTTTGTATGTTTTTTTGTCCATAATTATTATTTTTTTTCATATATTTGAAAAGGTTTTTAGCGCCGTTACGACACTGTAGAAAAAATTTATATCTTTGTTCACTTGTTCTACTGATAATTTTTGGTTTGAATCATCTTTTAAGTACGTTCGAGAAGGATACATTTTAAGACATGAAAACCAGACAATCGTTCAAACCGTCATGGCATGCGTGAGAAGACAAAATAAATTCACGCACGGTCTATGGGCTGAAACATACGTGGGTTGTGAAAGAAGCTGAAGGGCGCCCTCAATACCCAAAGACCTACTGGCCTGGTAACGCAGCTTCAGAAAAACGTTGGACTGTGCTCTATGCTATGATGAACACATCTAATGGACCAGACTATTATTGCCGAACCGGTTACCATGCCATGTTGTAGGCAATAGCGTGTGTGGTATTTTGGAAAAGGTACAGCTTTTTTGTGTGTGGAAAAAACTTATATTTCAGTATCATTGTGTTTCTAGTAATATCTCTATATATTGGTAATCCTTACTTTTAGGACCCCGTTCCTATAAAGGAAGGGAAAGACTCACCAAAGTAGTTGACTAAATGACACTCAAAATTGACATTCTGATATTTAAACACACTCAAAAACCCATCATGCCCAGCTGGAGTTACCCAGCCCTGACTTTTATCATTGGGTTGTCATCTAGGGCTGGAGCGTATTTTTCTCGTAACTAGTAGTATATTCAAAAAAATTTGGAAAATGTTCAATTTTGTCCCCGTTACACACTAATTGCAACTGCAACTCACCCCAAACTTGCCTGGAATAACCATTACACAGGTCCTTGAAGTAAAAAACGGGTAATCCTTACTTTTAGGACACCTCTATTTTTGTACGAGTTCTGTTCAAAACTGACTTTTGCAGATGACTGTCCAGTACCAAAGTGACTTTTGCAGGCTAAAGCAGTCTTTTTTCTTTATATAAACTCAAGTTACTGTTAGTTGCAATCAAGAAGGTGTCATTGCCAACTGTTCAAATGTGTCAAGAAATATCAGAATGCCACTTTTGAGTGTCATTTAGTCAGCTGTTTTGGTGAGTCTTTCCCTTCCTATATAGGAACGGGGTCCTTAAAGTAAGGATTACCAAAAAACGATCCACGATGAAGATTCAGCCTACAATTGCAGTGAAAACAGGAGGAATAACCGCTAACTTGACAACCTTGCTGGATTGGCCAGGACTGCTATTGGTTTGTGCACAAAAAAAATTGTGTACAATGAATGGCGGTCGATTAACAGGCACAGAGAGCGATCGCTGTCAACTACTCGTTTTGCCGGCTGCGCTAGCTGTTGGCGCATGACGTCACGCGGAAACGTAACACCAGATGACTGTTTCATGCACCATTGGTTGCGGTTCCAGTACCAAAGCTGTGATGCGAGTGGTAAACCTTATATAAGTGCATGAAACAGTCATCGGGTGTTACGTAACTGACAACCCAATGATAAAACTCAGGGCTGGGTAACTCCAGCTACATCATGCCCATAAATGTGGCCTATTTACTGGACTACCTCCGTAAACATAGGCCACACATCCACATGTACAAAAAACGTGTCGACTTTGCCAAATTTTGATTTTCACATTTAGGCTTACTTTGTAGATTTTTTTTGCTTTAGAAGCATTCTCACCCTCTATATAGGCTAATCAGAAAGTGCTGCCTTTTTCAGATGTTTAATTTTTGTGAAATTTCATGTTGAAATTTTGATACGCAAACGTGTGCAAATGTATCTGGAAATTTCACGAAAAATGGACATCTGAAAAAGGCAGCACTTTCTGATTAGCCTATATAAAGGGTGACAATGCTTCTAAAGCAAAAAAAATCTACAAAGTAAGCCTAAATGTGAAAATCTAAATTTGGCAAAGTCGACACGTTTTTTGTACATGTGGATGTGTGGCCTATGTTTACGGAGGCAGTCCAGTAAATAGGCCACATTTATGGGGCTAGCCCATAGATGGGAAACCTGAAAGCTCAATGCGATGAAAGCTCGATGCGATTGGCAGAGTAAAAATAAACATCATATTTATTTTTTTAGCAGTCAATTACCATCGGGCTTTCATTGTGTAGAGCTTTCACGCGTGTGAGAACTACAACATGCACGTCCGACTGCGAAAAAAAGGCAGGAAAGTCACATTTTCTTTAAAAGTGCTTTCAAAATTACAGCGTACACATGAGTTTATAAAGAAAAAAAGACTGCTTAAGTCTGCAAAAGTCACATTGGTTCTGGACAGTCATCTGCAAAAGTCAGTTTTGAACAGAACTCGTAAAAATAGAGGGAGTGTGAATTTATGTGCACGCTGAATGAGACCGGCACTCATGTTAATACAAAATTAACAGATATTTTGGCTAGGACTGGCTGAGTTAGTATTTATGAGAGTCGACTGTAAATGTTAAACCTTCTTAACCCTAAAGGGGCCGGGGGGGGGCGGAATCTGCCCCCCCCCCCCCCTCAACATTTTCCGTGATAGGTTCTAAAAAAAAAAATTTCGCGACCCGAGCTGTTATGACTTTTTAGCCTCGAGCTTTGCGCATCTTTTGATAGCAAAAACATAAAAATCGGACCACGGGTTGCCGCGTAGCAAAATATAATATACCAATATAATGTGGTGGCCGAATACAGAAATCTTTCTGAGTGGTCCGTATGTTATCTAGTTGTGAATGGAACTAGTCATTTTTTTTCCTCTGTTTTTGTTTGTGTTTCTGCAGAAAATGGTGAAGATTCCCAAGATCGATGTTGGCCGTGGCCCGCAGAAGCTTCCTTCAACTCCCCTGAGGTTGGCACCTCCTCGGGGGAGACGCCTGCCTATATTTGGGCAGTGCGCAAACCAGCCGACACACACTCCAGGTGTGTTCGTACTCCGAGAACATGGGAGTCAGCGTCCTCCTTGTTCTCTATACGAGGGTACTGGGGTCAGCGTGCCCTTCAGCTGGTCCGTATGGCATGAGAAAAGGTGCACAATTGACCTTGGCAATAACCAAGAATATACAAAGAATATTGACATAAGAATCAGAAATAACCTTGAGATAATACTCAGAAATAACTTTGAGAAAACTCTCAGCAGTAACCTTGAGAAAAAACTGGGCATGAGTCTTGAGAAGACACTTGACAGGAGTGGTGATGTACTTGGTGATGATGGTCAGATGATAGCTGGTGGATACCTTGAGGCTGAAACTGTGATAGATCTGAAGCAGAAGAGAATCGGTAAGCTAACAAAGAAGAGACTAGAAAATCAGGTAGCAATGAGATGGTTGAAAGCAAGGGGCAAGACGTGCTGTAGCAGAGCTAAGGTCTTGGACTGTGTTGTTGAGTATCATAAAGAGAAAAGAAAAGTATCTAAGCCAAACAGAAAGAAAATGAGAAGATACAAGCGTAGACAGGTATATCATAGGTCAAAGAATGGTAGGATGGAGATCCGCATGAGTCGAGAACAACAAAGAAGCTGTGAGAAAGCACAGAAGAATATTCAAGGTCATACAAAAAGAAGTTTGAGCTATGTGATAAAGAGGATACAGCATAGAGAGAAATGCAAAGAAAAGCAAAAGTGGAAAACTCTGGATGGTAAAATGGTGTTCAAGAACTATACATGCTCAAATGCTGTTAAGCAGTTGGGGAGAAAGTCTGATACAAAGTGTTCAAGTGTTGGCAAAGCAAAGGTGAAGAATGTCCATTGTTTGGTGAAAAAATGTCAACAAAGTTCGGTTGATGTACAGATTCATGCTGAAGAGTGCTGGATGTGTGATCAGTTGGTTGTGTCACCAGACAGGAGAGTGGAGTGCGATTCTTGTCATATTTACTATCATGTCAAATGTATGAATTTCTACAAGATGCAGCAAATTTTGTTGAATAAGTCAGTAACATGGGTGTGTCTGAAATGTGGTAGGGCAACTTATTGTACCTCTCTTGTGCATGATCTTGACATTCCCACAGATGGCACTGTGTACGATGTAATTGGTTCATGCAGTGATGACACTGGTGCAGTGATGGAGAGTGGCATTGATGCAACTAGTACAGAGAATATAGGTAAGAATAAGAAAGAGGCATTGCTGAAACAGACAGGGGGATATTCGTTAAGGAGCAAAAAGGACAAAAATAAGAGTTGTGCAAATGAAAGTAGAGATGATGCAGAAAGAACTACCGGAAACATAAATGATTCAGAAAAATCAAAGAAGAAGAAACTACATGTAGCTGGTGAGGATGGAAAGTCACAGAATACATCCTATATGCTTAAAAGTAGAAAGAGACAACTGTCGCTCAGTAGTGAAAAAAGTGAAATGAAAATGAAAGCAAGGAAAAAGCAAATGCAGGAAAAAAGTGAAGAAAGAGAAGATAATGCTCAAAGAAGTGGAGATAGAAAATTGCAACTAAGAAGATGTAAATCAGTAACATGTATACATGAAGAGTTGACTGAAAATCTGGCAGGGCCTGTAGATAGTAGAAAAGTGAGTGGAGCATATGAAAATAATATAAGGTTGGAAGAAAAAGTTGTACAGGGAACTTGTCATCAAGGCCATCCTAAATTTGGAGCTCACAGTGGCAAACAATGTGTACCTAATGGATTGAGCTGTGTCTTGCTGAGTAAGTTGAAAAAATTAAAAGAATGGACTTCTCATCATGACATTGATGCAGCACTGAATACTGGAAATGAGTTGTATGGGTATTTATCTCACAGTTCCACAGTAAGTCATGGATATCTGTTAGTGACTGAAATGCCAAATGAGTTAGATCTGTTGAATCATCATTTCAATATGGACTTTCATGACCCTGTATGCGGTACTTTTGGAGAGGAGTGCAGTTGGCCTGAATTTCATATGATGCCAATAAATCGAGCCTTACAACAATATCTTCAGCAGTACTACGCATGTTTTATAACTTTTGATGGAAAGACATTTGTTGTAATTGCTCAAGATGGGATGTATTATATCTTTGACACTCACTCTAGGAATCGAGACGGTTACCAGGTCAGTGAAGGACGCAGTTTGCTTAAACGTGTTCATGCATGGCAAGATGTACACAGGTATTGTAGTAATTTGGCAAACTCTATGTGCTTGTCTAACAATGAGCAGTTTGAACTTACAGGTGTGTCTGTTTCGCTAGATGATGAGGTAGGAGACAATGTACTTGTACATGTAAGTGGCATTAGTACTGTACGGGATAGTACTGGTTGTGATGTGAGTAATGACCATGGAGTAAAAGACAATACTGGAAATGCTGGTTGTAGCATAAGCAATGATGGTGAGTTCTCTGACAATGTCACAGAAGATGTCAGTCACGTGTCTCATGGTATAAACAAAAATGTCGGGTGTAGTAATGCTCCAAGAACAGTGCAAAAAGGGAAAGAGATGAGTGTACAGTGTAACAAGGTGATTGGAAAAATCAAGCAATCTGAAGCCAGAAAGTCAAAGAATAGTGAAGCAGGTGAAAATAGTCCAGAAAAATTAAGTAAAATTCATAACAAGCAATGCTGGTGGTGTGATCAGAGTATAAAGTCATTTGAAACCCATGTGCAGTGTGATAGCTGTGACATTTGGTATCATGTGAAATGTATGAATTTCTCAAAGATGGACTGGTTGTTGACCAACAAAGCTGTGGCATGGATGTGTCGAAAATGTAGAAGAAGTTCTTTTTCAAAGTCACTTTTGTATGATCTTGGTATTCCAACAGATATAAATACATTTGAGTTGACATTGCAGGAGACACACAAGGAAGATGAGGCAGACAAGTATGCTCTTGTGGACAGAATGAATGCAGATGATAGCATTAAAGACAAACAGATGAACAACGTGAACGGTGTAAGTGACCTGAAAATGAAGACATGTTCAGCTAGGATAAGGCAGGGGACAGGTTTGAGAAAAAAACATGTAACTAAGGGCACGGGACTAATAATTAAGCAGACTGGTGGTTATTCATTGAGGAAAAGGAATGGCCAGTCTTCAAATGATCAGGATGGAAGGAAAAGAGAAAGAGACAGAATTGTAGAAACAAGAAGTGCAATGTGTACAAGAAGTAAAAAGGTTGTGGGTAGTGTCAGTAAAGGCATTGACTCTGATGAAAAGAAGTGTCAAGAAGGAAATGTCCAAAAAGATCAGGCAGTGGCATTGGAAACAAAACAGACTAAGAGATATGAATTGCGAAGTAGGAAAAGACAGACATCGTGTGCTAGTGCAAGTTGTGAGACAAACAATGGAGCTAAGAAAATGAAATCTAAAATTGATGATAAGAGTATCGGTATATGTGCAAAGAAGCCAGGTGTGTCACATCAAACACGTAAATCAATGAAATGGAAGTGTGAGAAAGTGCCAATAATTTTGAAGAGTAAAAGTGATGTGACTGACCTGGGCAATAATATGCAAACTAGAACAGACACAAACAGTAGAGTATTGGCTGAAAGGACAGTGCAAGGTAACTTCCACCAAGGTGATCTGAGATTTGGTTTTAACAGTGGCAAGCAGTGTGTTGCAAACAGCTTGTGTGCCATTTTGTACAGTAGAACCAAGTTACTGAAAGACTGGTCTTGTCATGATATGGATGTCACCTTGCAAACAGGAAATGAATTATACAGTCATTTATCTCAGAGCAGTACAATGAATAATGACTTTCTGTTGGTGACTGAATTGCCAGATGAACTTGATCTGCTGAATCATCATTTTTGTATGAAGTTTGCAGATCCTGTATGTGGAACTTTAGGAGATGAGTGCAATTTATCTGAATTTAACATGATCCCAATGAACCGTGCACTGGAACAGACTCTGCAGAGATATTATGCTTGTTTCATATGTTTTCATGAAAACACGTTTGTTGTTATTGCTCAGAATGGAATGTATTATATTTTTGATTCACATTCTAGAGATCAGCATGGTAATCAGACAAGTGAGGGAAGAAGTTTGCTGAAGTGTGTCTCTACTTGGCAAGATGTTCACAGGTACTGTAACGGTTTGGCTCAATCTATGTCATTGTCTAGTAATGAGCAGTATGAAATTACAGGCATGAATGTTTGGCTAGATGATGAGGTACATGTAGGACAAGATGCTGCTAATATTGCATATTGTAGTATACAGGATAATGGGTCTGTCATTGAGGCTTGTCGGCATGGTACCATAAAACATGATGGAGCTGCTTGTAATGCACATGTTAGTGATCAGTTGTCTGACACGGTTGCAGAAGATTGTCCAAATAGTGGTCATCAAGTGCCTTCCAGTAATACAGGTGATGTTGGTGATGATGTTGAAATAACGAAAGTGACACGGCTGGATGTGTTAAAATTTGTTCAATTGAGATACATTACCAAGGTTGGTCTGTGTAGAAAACATGGAATGATGAATGTATGTGATGAAGTTGATGACATTTCTGTAGAATGTGAACAAATGGAACGACCTCGTGATGTAAAGACAATCAAAGGTGATGGAAACTGTTTCTTCAGAGCTATATCATATGCCATATCAGGAACAGAAGATAATCATATGTGCTTACGGGTGGCAGTTGTGAATCACATGTTGAAGCACCAAACAAAATATTATGGCATTTTGCGGGAAGGTTATAATAATGTGCAAGAGTATGTCATTCACAAGAGATTGTTTGATTCTGGAATATGGGCTACGGAAGTTGAAATTATGGCAATGGGACATATGCTTGGTGTTGACATATATACATTTGATGATATAAATAAGTGGTGTATGTTTTCTAAAAATATTGTCGAGGATAGTGGTGTTAATTTGGATGAAGGAATATATTTATATCACAAACAGAGAATTCACTATGATGTTGTGCTGTCACTTGAGAGACATGAAATGAGAGAAGCCGTAACAAAAAACAGAGATCATAAAAGTTGTGTGGATGAGAAACCCCATACTGAATGTCCTTCAAATACTAAGGAAAGAGAACATATGACATGTGAAACTATTGAAATTGATAGAGCTCATAAAATACTGAAAAGGCAGAGGCGAAAACGAGCAAATATGCGATTGACACGTAAAGTAGCGAGAGAGAAGGCTAAGAACAGGTACAGGGAAAAGAAAAAGCAAAGAGATACATGTAAGCAGAATAAGAAAATGTATGACAAAAGGAAATACAGAGAAAATGCTGACAAGAAGAAGGAAGCATTGAACAAGAGATATCGTGATGAAAGTGAGTTTAAAGTAAAAAGATCGAAGACTGAAAGAGCTAAATATCGTGATAATGTTGCACACAGAAATAATTTGAAGAAAAAATATCAAGAAAAGTTAAGTGTTAGTGCGAAGAAAAAATATCGTAATAATGTTGTATACAGGGAAAAGTTAATTAACGCTGGTAAAAGAAGATATTGTGAGAATGAAACATACAAAAAAGAAAGTAACAATTATAAAAAACAAAAGTATCATCCAGATATAAATAGGGAACGGAAAATCAATCTGGCTAAATTGAAATACCATGTCAGTACTTCATACAAAAATAGACTGATTGCTAAGATCAAACAAAAGTATCATACTAACGCAAAATATAGGAGAAATTTAATACAAGCTGGAATAGAAAGATACCACAGAAAAATTGCGTACCGTCAATACATGAGACGCTGTATGGATAATGTGACAAAGACATTCAAGCAAGATATCTGTAAAGGACCTGAGTATGTGTGTGCCTCATGTCACAAGCTTCTGTTCAAGAAACAAGTCTTGAAATGCAATAAATACAAATATAAGCATCAAAGTTGTATTTCTGAACAGTATCTTCATACTTGTAGTGAGGACTGTCAATCAAAGTGTGTTATAGGAGCATCAAGCAGGTCATGTTTGTGGATATGCTACACATGTCATAGGAAATTACTTGCTAACAAAATGCCTGCTGAAGCAAGTGTCAATAATTTGCTGTTAATTAATGTTCCTGATGAATTGGCATGTTTAAATGTATTGGAAGAACATCTGATTGCAATAAATGTGCCATTTATGAAACTGATTGCATTGCCGAAGGGTGGACAGCATGGCATGAGGGGTCCAGTTGTGTGTGTTCCATCAAACATAACAGACACTGTGAAAGTATTACCAAGAGCTGAACATAGTCATGAAATGATTCGTGTCAAGTTGAAGAGGAAATTGTCATACAAGGGATATTACCAGTATCAGTTTGTTAATAGGCAGCATGTTGACAATGCATTATACTACCTGAAACACAATAATCAGTGGTACAAAGACATTGAAATTAACAATGATTGGGAGAATCCATTGTCTGAAGTTGAGGATATCGAGGAAAATGAGGATGATGTCAGAAAGGAATTCAGTGATAAGAGCGATGACAGTGATGATGAACAAGCAGGAGATGATGAGGAAACAGACGATGATCGTTTGAGAGGCATGGCATTAGATCCGTGTCTTCAACCAATTGATATAGGCCAAGAAGTACTGGATCAGTATTTTAGTGATGTGCTGTGTGTGGCCCCTTGTGAAGGCAATAGTCCAATCAGAATTTTGATGGAACAGGGTAATGAGGCAAAATGTTTTCCTGCATTGTTTCCAACAGGCCAACCAACATTTCACGACAAACGTGATGTGACTATAACACTTGGTAGATATTTCCACAACAAACTAATGAACGTAGATAATAGATTTGCACAGAACACCCAATATATTTTTTATGCTCAGTATTTGTCGGAGATTCAGAAAGTTATGTCCAGTGTTTCTATTGCATTACGTAAAGGTTCTGATAAAATGCCCAATGGTGAAAAAATAAATGCCAGAGTGATCAGTGACAGCGACAAATTGAGTAATATTTTGAAATCTGATAGTGGATATAAATTCCTCAAACCTATTCGTGGTACACCTCCATACTGGCAAGCAGCACAGAAGGATGTTTTGGCGATGATAAGACAGCTAGGAATACCAACATGGTTTTGTTCATTTTCAGCAGCAGATATGAGATGGTCAGAAGTAATCAATACAATTCTACGTCAGCAAGGTGACTCTAGAGATTTGAAAGATTTAGACTGGAATGAGAAGTGTACTGTGTTGAGAACTAATCCTGTCACTGCTGCCAGAATGTTTGACCACCGATTCCATACATTTTTGAGAGATGTAATTTTGTCTGGAGCACAACCAATAGGCAAAGTCAAGGACTATTTTTACAGAGTGGAGTTCCAACAGAGAGGGTCGCCACATACGCATTGTCTGTTTTGGATTGA